ACCTAGGGATGGGTGGAGACTTCTGGCAGGAAGTCACTCTTAGGGGATGGTCCCTTGGATCAGATCGAGTCACTTCTATCTAGGACATCAACTCCTGCAGTGATGAGTTACAGGCTCAGCCCAGCCGAGCAGCACTGCCCCAAGCTTCCTGGGCAAGATGGGCCACCCAGCCCTTTTCTACCTGACTCCAGGAGCCAATGAACGTACAGGAAAAAGGACAGGCCGGGTCTGGACGGGGGCAGACCACTGGGCTGTTACTGTCACAGGGCAAACCCCCAAACTGGGACTCAGCCTGTGAGACCAGGTGGTTTTCTGGCTTCCTGAGGGAAGGAATCCAAAAGGGAGCCAGAAGGAAGCGAAAGCAGGTTTATGAAGAAAGTAAAAGAATAACAGTGTGACTACTCCGGGGGCAGAGCAGCCCTGAGAGCTGCTGGTTGGCTACTTTTGTGGTAATTTATTGATCACAGGCTAAAAAAGGGTGGATTGTTCATCAGTTTTCTGGGAAAGGGATGGGCAATTCCCAGAACTGAGGGTTCCTCCCTTTTTCAGGGCACACAGGGTAACTTTCAGAGGTCACCATGGCATCTGTAGACTGTCATGGGGCTGGTGGGTGTGTCCTTTAGCAACTAATGAATTATAATTAACAAATAACGAGCAAGGACAACTAGAGGGCTGTTTTCCTTGCCATCCTGGTTTCCGTGGTGGGGTCTGGCCAGCTTCTTTAGAGCATCCTGTTTTATCAGTGAGTCCTGCCAAATTCCTATCTCACCATCTCCCCCACAGCAACCTCCTGAGCTCACAGTGCTCCTGGCTGGCTGGGACTGAATTGTGTCCCTCCCTCCCTCTTGCCCCAGACATCCACACATCTTGAGTAAGCCAACAAGTATTTATTGAACACCTACTGAGTGTTAGGGAAACAGTAGGGCCGAAACAGAGCCACATTTAATGGGGTGAGTAGTCTTTCTCCCCAATGTGTAAACCATGTGGGAAGTGAGGTGTTAGTGACAGTGAGAGCACTGAGACCAGGCACAGGGGCCTGTCCACCTCGGTGACTGGGAGCCTCTTTTCCTAGACACCAAAGGCCCAGGGATGAAGCGCAGGTACTACAGCCACTGTTTAGGGAGCTCAGAGCCTGGCCTCTTGTACCTGCGCCTGTATGGTACTGGAACTTACCACACCAGGTCTTAGTGTCTCCATCAGTAAAAAAGACAAGATATCTATCTGCATTTTCTACTTACGGAGATAATGGAGGTTTCCCATAGGAATGGAAACATTTATCTGGAAGTTTAAGCAGGGGACTTGTGGACAAAAAGCTGCGCTGGGCTGTCAGCTCTCATTTTTTAAGATGTTATGCACAGCACAACAGAGCTACACACAGCCAACACTTTAACAAATCAGGGTCATAACTCATAAGGCATGTTCTCAACACGCGGCTGACTCGATCCTAACTGTCAGTGATAAGACAGAACAAGGAGCTTGGTATCCCGTTGATGCTAGGACATTTGCTGAGCACTACACGTAGGCCGTGTAAAAGCATGCACCGTGTTTCACAGCAAAAGCCTCTTCTCCTGAGGAGCTCTTGTTGCAATTAACCATAGCTCTCTCTCCTGCAGGACAGAAACGAGTCTTCTCCCATCTATTCACCACCTTCCCGCTCTGCATCTTCTAAAGCCTTTTTGGCAACAGGGACTGGTTTTGTGGAAGACAACTGTATCAGCCCATTTTCACGCTGCTATAAAGAACTGCCTGAGACTGGGTAATTTATAAAGGAAAGAGGTTGGATTGATAGTTCAGCATGGTTGGGAGGCCTCAGGAAACTTACAATCATGGCAGAAGGTGAAGGGGAAGCAAGGCACCTTTTTGACCGGTGGCAGGAAGAAGTTCCAAGCAAAGGGGTAAGAGACCCTTATAAAACCATCAGATCTCGAGGGAAATCACTATCAAGACAACAGCAGAGGGGGGACCCCGACTCCATAATTCAATTACTCTACCTGGTTTCTCCCTTGACATGTGGGAGTTATAGGGATTACAATTCAAGATGAGATCTGGGTGAGGACACAAAGTCTAACCATATCAGTAACTTTTCCATAGGTGGTGGAAAACATTTCCCAGAGGTGAGTGGGGTGGTAGTTTCAGGATGAATCTGTTCCACCTTACATCATCAGGCATTAGATTCTCATGAGGAGCGCACAACCCAGATTCCACACACACGCAGTTCACGATAGGATTCACGCGCCTGTGAGAATGGAATGCTGCTGCTGATCTGACAGGAGGTGGGGCTCAGCTTTGCTGCTTTGCTCCCCTCCTGCTGTGCGGCCTGGTTCCTAACAGGTGCTGAAACCATCAGTGTGGCCTTGGGTTTGGGGATCCCTACTCTGAAAAGTGGATTTACCTGCCCTATCATCCCAGGGCCCCTTGGCGTCTAAGAAAAGAGGCCTCCTGGTCACAAAGGGTGCTGGCTGCTTAATCTCAAGGCGGGAGGGTCCATGTGTTTTACGCCCCATCACTTCCCTAGACAGCCTCGTCACCCAAAGACTGCATTCAACCTCACAGCTCTCATCATTTTCACGGACTCTGGGCTAAAGAGCTATTGCTCCCCAGAAAAGTCAGACACTTTTAAGAGGTGTATTCAGACATCTGCCATAAACATTTCCAGGAAAACGGCATAAAATGTGAGACCATCTAGTCATAAAAATGTGATGGACACAAGTCTAGGCAGTTTATGGATTAGATTTTAAAACTGTGAAGAAGTAGGTGAAGCCTGGTAGCCCACATCTGTTATCCCAGCACTTTGAGAGACTGGGGCAGGAGGATTGCTTGAGCTCCTGGGCTGGGGCCAGGGTCTAGGGTCCTCAGTAAGGCTTCTGAATAAAACTAAGTTTAATTCTTTAAAAGCTTGTCTTTCTTTAGTCAACAAGGTTTTACATTCTCTTATACTAAATCATTGAAATCTGTGTGTATTTTACAACAAAGCCAGTTTGAGGGCACTGAACGATCCTTTGTGGAGTGAGGAAGATATGAGAACTTACATTTTATTCAGCTTTATAACTATTTAATATTTAGAGTAATACCAGCATCCTTACTAGGCACATTTATCAGGAGGTCAATTATCTGGCATAGACAAATTCTGGTGCCAGCGTGAGATTCACTCTTGGAGAAGGCTGCATTTACTTGTTCATCCTTGAAATACTGCAACCCACTGATTTCTTCATAAAAGGACGCTCTGGTTTTAATTAAAATTAACCTTCATAAAAGGAGAGCTTTCAAGCACTCCTGGAAAGAAGCCATGGGTTAAAGATGTGCCCAGCGATGCAAGCCAGGTTTCTGACCATAAGAAAGGGCAGAGCTGGGCACCATGGCTCATGACTGTAACCCCAGCACTTTGGGAGGCCGAGGCAGGCGCAGTATGTGGTCAGGAGTTCAAGACCAACCTGACCAACATAGTGAAATCCTGTCCCTACAAAAAATACAAAAATTAGCTAGGCGTGGTGGCACATCCCTGTAATCCCAGCTACTCAGGAGGCTGAGGCAGAAGAATCACTTGAACCTGAGAGGTGAAGGTTGCAGTGAGCCGAGATGGCACCACTGTATTCCAGCCTGGGCGACTGAGTGAGACTCCGTCTCGAAAAGAAAAGAAGAAGGAAAAGAAAAGAAAGGATAGCGCTGGCACTCGCGGATATACAATTTCCCCAAAGTTAGAAACATGATTCTCAACACAACATGAACTGCCCTTCAAAGACGGTGGAGCTGCTTCAAAAAGGCATGAGAGGAGGTTGGTATGTAGACGCACTTAAAGAAGTGTCAGATAAGAAAGCGGGTTAGGGGCTGCGCACAGCAGTGGCACCTGTGGTTCCAGGTACTCTGGAAGCTGAGGTGGGAGGATCGCCTGCGCTCGGGAGATGGAGGTTGCAGTGAGCCGAGATCGTACCATGGCACTCCAGCCTGGGCGACAGAGTCAGACCCTGTCTCAAAACAAACGAACAAAAAGCAGGTTAAAATGCCTAACCGGTTAACGTTCTGCTGGGCAATAAAAAAACCACCCCTTCTGGGTTATCTCTACTGCAGGACACACATTATTGGCACCTTATACACAGACCCGAGGCCTTCATTAAGAGTAAATTGGAGGCTCAGCTTGTATTTTACTTTGTAACAGCTGCTTGCTGCGCGCAGTGGCTCACGCCTGTAATCCCAGCCCTTTCGGAGGCCAAGGCGGGCGGTATCACCTGAGCCCCAGGAGTTCAAGCCCAACCTGGACAATACTGGGACAGTCCCCCGACCACCGTCTCTACAAAAAATTTTTAAGTTAGCCAGGCGTGGTGGCACTCGCCTGTAGTCCCAGCTCCTCGGGAGGCTGAGGCAGGAGAATCGCTTCAACCCGGGAGGCGGATGCTGCAGTGAGTCCTGATCCCACCACTGCACCCCAGCCTGGGCGACGGAGCATGACCCTTTCTCCAACATGCCAGGCAAACGGCGAAGACACACACAGGCGGGTCCCCCAGGAAGGACGCCGGCGTCCGGGGCCCTGGTTCTGCCCAGCGCGGACCCGCCCGAGCCCAGCGCCGCGCCAGACCCACACCGGCGGCCGTGAGGGTTTCAACCCGCATCATCCCCCCGGCGAGCTCGGCGCCTCCACTACGGGTCCGCGACGCCATCCACCCACCGCGGGCCGAGAGGGGACCCGTGCCCGTCTTTTTTGCTTGAGGCGGGGCCGTCTGAAGACGATGCCCGGAGCGGAGGCACCCTCGCGGCCCCCAGCCTGTTTCCAGGGTGTTCCGGTCCACAGGCCGCTCGAAGAACCTCAGCGCAGGGATTAGTAGAAACCCACAGCCACCACAAAACGCCACCAACCCTGAAAGTCCCGCGGCCTCCATATCTTTTATAGGGAACCGGGTGCCCCGCCCTCAGCGAGATCCCGCGGGAACTGCATATCGTGCGAGAGCAGAAACAACTTCCATTTCCCTGCGGCTTACGCCCTTTTTCCTTTCACGCCCCTCCAGAGGCGTGGCAGCGGCGCGCGCACGCACGTACGTACGTACGCACGTCTCACGCTTTCGCACGCTAAGGCGTCAGTTCCTCTTGGCGGCGGCTGCACGGGGCTTCTTCTATTGCTTTCCGCTGCTGCGCGCGCTGTGCTCTTCCGAGCACTCAGAATCATGGCGGCCACGGCCACGATGGCGACCTCTGGATCGGCGCGGAAGCGGCTGCTCAAAGAGGAAGACATGACCAAAGTGGAATTCGAGACCAGCGAGGAGGTGGACGTGACCCCCACGTTCGACACCATGGGCCTGCGGGAGGACCTACTGCGGGGCATCTACGCGTACGGTGAGCGGGCGCGGGCCGCGGGTTGGGGGCAGGACTGGCGACTCCCCGGCCGGCCCCGCGCTCCCGAGGTCGTGGTCAGGGCCGAGGCTCGGGGACCAGGGACGTGCGACTCCCGCTCCGTCCTTGTCCGCGCCCTCACACCTGGCTGTGTCGGCGCGTTCGGTGTGTGTCCACTGTGCAGAGCTCCGCGTGGGTCCGACGGGGGCTGCAGCCGCTTAGAGGCACATTAGCGTCGTTCATTGAGCACATAACTGTTTTGTACCTACCAGCTTTTCTAGGAACTGGGGTTTTGGCGGTAAACCAATTTCTGAATTTCGTTGGCGGGGACAGCATAGGGTCAGGTTGCTTAGGCAGTGGTTGTTGCTGTGAAGACCTGAAGCAGGGTAATTGAATGTAGTGGAACTGCGAAGGAGGAGAGAATTAGTAAAGCAGAGAGGTAACGGGGTTCGCAGGAGGGGGTGCCATTTGAGCTGAGGTTTGGATGAAGGAGCTATTAGGAGAAGAGGGAAGAGCATTTGGGGCAGAAGGAACAGCCGGTGCCCTCCAGGAATTGAAACAGGTGGGATTTTGTAAAGTTAGGTAGGGGCCAGATCTAACAAAGACGTGTAGGGTGACGAACAGTTTGAATTTCATTTAGAAATCCAGTGGGAAGCCACTGGAAGGTTTTAAGTAGCTACGTGACGATCAGATTTATAGTTTAAAAGATTCTTTTGGGTGTCCCGTGAATTTCAGGTGAGGTGAAGCGAGGCAGGAGAGGAAACAGGGAGACCAGTTGGGAGCTTTTCTCTAGTTCAGGGGAGAGAGGGTTGTGCTGCTTTGGAGATGGAGTGCCAGGGAGCTGACAGCATTGGCTGATGGACTGAATGTGAGTGACAGAAGGAGGAGGACTGGAGTGTTTTGAGTAACCGGTGGTTGATGCTGCAAACATTCGCCTAGGTGGGCAGCACTCCAGAGAGTCAGCATCAGGAACTTTGTCTTGATCTGTTTGAAAGGTCTGTGGACGTTTAGAACCTGGAGAAGGGGTTGGGTTGGGCACTAGATGGGAATTACCAGCATCTGAAATAAATGGTCTGTGTTTAATGCTTGGGACAGGGATATCTTTTGTTCTGTAGTTCTCTTTCTTTTCTTTCTGACGGTCTTTCTCTGTCGCCAAGGCTGGAATGTGGTGGCATGAACTTGGCTCACTGCAACTTCTGCCGCTGGGGTTCAAGTGATTCCTTAGCCTCAGTCTCTAGAGTAGCTGGGATTATAGGCATGCACAACCATGCCGAACTAAGTTTTGTATTTTTAGTAGGGACGGGTTTTGCTGTGTTGCCCAGGCTGGTCTTGAACTCCTGACCTCAGTGATCCACCAGCCTCAGCCTCCCAAAGTGCTGGGATTACAGGTGTGAGCCACCCCACCTGGCCTTATCCTGTAGTTCTTGATGCCACAACAGTTTGGACAAAGTGAAGCAAAGTTGCAGAGATGGGTGGTGAGAAGGTATTGTAGCCAAGCCTCACAGTGAGGCTGAGAGCCCCCACCTGGTTTCCTGGCACTCAGGCGATCCCTGCCCTAAGGCACTGTTGTTAGATTCCCATCTATATGCTGCTGTTCGTGAAGAGTTTAAATCATCTGCTATATTTGCTTTTGTGTTAAGATGGGAAATTGTGCTACTTTTTCTTTTCTTATTTTTTGCTATGCCCCAGAACTGAGCAAAGCTACATTTAAAAGGCTACCAAAAAATAATTGAAATAAGAGTGTTTGTACATAACGTTTTATTTACTTGAAAAACATGTAGTCCTTCAAAATAGCCTCACCCCTCTGTGTGGTAGTTGCTTTGCAGGAGAGATGGTGGTATACTGAGTGAGCTGCGTCCAGACAGGAGAACAGCTTAGGACACCCCGCAGTGTGACCCAAGCAGATTAAGAAGAGTGTAGGCCTGTCAGCCACACACAGACTTAATGCTAGCTAGGAGGAGAGAACAGTGGCTACAGTGACTTTCCTGGTCTTTTTTTTTTTTTTCTTAAAAAGTAGTGTAGGTTGTTTGTAATAGAGTCAAACCTAGAGAAGTAATTAGAGTAAAGTAAGCTTCTTCCCACTTCTCTGCTGCAGTACTGCCGGGAACATTTTGGCACTTAAACTTCCAGATGCTGCGCACCCAAAAGATTTAAAAAACAACAAAACAGAACTGGGGTCTCTGTATACTACACCTTGGTGGTGCTGTTTAAATAGAGATTTGTCTTTACAAATGACATCCCATGTTAGTGTAGAAATCCTCTCAGCCCAGTTCATTGAGCCTCTGGGGCTTCAGAGCTTGCTATGTTGAACATTGGGTTAGGCTGGAGGGCGGGTTCAAAAAGCAAACCATGTCTGCCCCTGACAAGCTCACAGTACAGGGTTTCTTTTTTTTTTTTTGAGACGGAGTTTCGCTGTTGTTACCCATACTGGAGTGCAATGGCACAGTCTCGGCTCACCGTAACCTCCGCCTTCTGGGTTCAAGCAATTCTCCTGCCTTAGCCTCTTGAGTAGCTGGGACTACAGGCGCGCACCACCATGCCCAGCTAATTTTTGTACTTTTTGTAGAGACGGGGTTTCACGTTGTTGACCAGTATGGTCTCGATCTCTTGACCTCGTGATCCACCCGCCTTGGCCTCCCAAAGTGCTGGGATTATAGGCGTGAGCCTCCTCGCCCGGCCAGTATAGGGTTTCTATGCTGTCATTGTGAGAGCTAATTTTCTGTTTTATTTCAGGTTTTGAAAAACCATCAGCGATCCAGCAACGAGCAATTAAGCAGATAATCAAAGGGAGAGACGTCATCGCACAGTAAGTCGTCCTGCTGTCAGCACAGGCTGGATGCAAGTCGGGGCAGTACAGTTAGATGCTCTGGGATGACCGTTTTCCTCAGTTTCTACACGTTCAGTACCAACGCTTTCCCTGACTTTAGCCACAGGGTTTAATAATTTTTAAATTTGTGTTCTCTACTCTAGAAGGCTTTCATTTTTTTTTTTTTTGGAGACGGAGTCTAGCTCTGTTACCGGGGCTAGAGTGATCTCGGCTCACTGCAGCCTCCGCCTTCCAGGTTCAAGTGATTCTCCTGCCTCACCCTCCCCGAGTAGCTGGGATTACAGGCGCCTGCCACCATGCCCGGCTTAGTTTTGCATTTTTAGTAGAGACAGGGTTTCAGCCTCTTGGTCAGGCTGGTCTTAAACTCCTGACCTCAGGTGATCTACATGTCTTGGCCTCCTAAAGTGCAGGGATTACAGGTGTGAGCCACTGTGCCCAGCCGAAGGCTTTCATTTTCTTAGCCAGCTTTGCTTAGTGGTTTTTGGTGTGTGGAATTGTATGTAACACAATTTCGGAAAAACAGACTGTGCTTTGCTTCTGCTCTCACACCACCACCACAGTCATCAGCACAGAAGAAGACTTCTGTGACCAGAGGTGTGGGGGTTTTCCAGCTGGGTGTCCTTCAGGTCAACTCTCATACCATCTGCCTGGAGGTGGGCCATGTCCCACAGGTCAAGGGCTCAGTCTCACAACTGCCCTCTTTTCAGATCTCAGTCGCAAGTCTGGACGTCTAGAACTTGTGACCAACCAGCTTCAAGTTGAGGTTCCCACGGCCCCCTCTTTAGGTTGGATTGATTTGCTGGAGCAGCAGCTCAAAGAACGCAAACACATTTAGTGGCTTATTATTCAGGGTACTGCAAAGGATACAGATGTGGGGAAGGGGTGCAGCCTCCAAGAGGCGGGTGGTCACCCTCCCAGAATCTCCTTGTGTTTGGCTATCTGTGCTCAGCCATCCAGAAGCTCTTCGAACCTGGTCCTCTTGGGTTTTTATGGAAAATTCCACGAGGTCAGCATTCCTTCCCCCTAGGGTATAGGGCAGGACCTTCTCTGGAATAATATCATGATGCTTTTGAAAAAAAATTTTTTTAATTTTAATTTTTTCCTTTGAGACAGGGTCTTACACTATCTTCCAGGCTCCCATGCTGGAGTGCAGTAGCGTGATTACAGCTCACCGCAGCCTTGACCTCCCAGACTCCAGCGATCCTTCCACCTCAGCCTCCCAAGTAGCTGGGACTACAGGCACACATCACCATGCCCAGTTAATTTTTGCATTTTCTGTAGAGACAGGGTTTCATTGTGTTGCCCAGACTGCTCTCAAACTCCTGGCGATCTGCCTGCCTTGGCTTCCCAAAGCTTTCAGATTACAGGCATGAGCCACTGTGCCTGGCCTAAACACTTTTTTTTTTTAAAGATACGGGGTCTCCCTTCATCACCCAGGCGGGAATGCAGTGGTGCAGTCATAGCTCACTGCAACCTCTAACTCCAAGGATTAAGGAATCATCCCACCTCAACCTCCCCAAGTAGCTGGGACTACCAGAATGTGCCGCCATTCCATAGTTAGTTTTTTGTTTTGTTTTGTTTGGAAGTGGGGTCTCTCGCTGTATTGCACAGGCTGATCTTGAATTCCTGGCTTCAAGCAGTCCTCCTGCCTCTGTGTCCCAGAGTGCTGGGAATACAGGCCTGAGCCACCACACCATGGAATGAGGGTCTTATGACTCACAGTCTTAAAGTCAGGGGAGATTAGAGCCCTGCTGTGGAGTAGGTGAAAGGAGAGAGCAGAAGGTTAGAGAGACTTTCCTGAGGCCTAACAAACCCATCAATCTAATAAGACTGTAACAGGGTTATGGAGCTGTGAGTCAGGAACTGTGCATAAAAACCTAGATACAGCTATATCTCCTCGCACCACAAATCCTCTTTTAATAGCTTTATTCCTCATTTGCCTAATTTAAAAAAGACTCATTTACATACAGATTTCTTTGGAGGAGTTAGTCCAAAATCATAGAAGGAAAAGAGTTGTATTTAGATAAAGGGGTATCCTCCTTTTACTGACACCTATGAAACACCTCTTGAAGTTAGTCTTTTGCTCCATTGCCCCCTTCAGAAGCCATGTCTACTCTCCTCATGGACACCTAAGAGCTATGACACTGGGCCTGAGTCCCACCTCCTCGCAGTTGAAATGTTGTTGGGTACGGGAGCTTCTTGGAAGAAGGTACCCAGGTGCCTCTGGAGCCCAGCCCTTAGGACACAGCGGTGGAGTGGCCTGTCCTCCCTCTAAATCCCACTGCTCTTGTTTTCTTGAATAGGTCTCAGTCCGGCACAGGCAAAACAGCCACCTTCAGTATCTCAGTCCTCCAGTGTTTGGATATTCAGGTAATTTGCCACTCTTAAAACAAACTGTTCTGTAGTTCTAGGGGAGTCTTAGTTGTACGCTAATATTGGCACTAACTAATACTCTGTCATGATTTCCTTCTTAACTGGAGGAAATTCTTGTCTGCAGACAAGGATCTAGACTGACACATTCAGTTATTGCTGGATTTGCAATTTAAATGACAGTAAGATTTGCCGACCTCTGTAAGAGAAATCTGATTAATATGAGATACCGTTCCTCATAGATCTGAGTGTGAATTACTGCAGTCCACCCTGTTAATACTGAGGATTCTCTGTTTTCTGATAATTTCACCAGGTTCGTGAAACTCAAGCTTTGATCTTGGCTCCCACGAGAGAGTTAGCTGTGCAGATTCAGAAGGTGAGATGGCTGAAGATAGTGGGGTCCGATTTGCAAGTACTGCTTTTGCGATTTAGTTGTGAAACACTCATTTATAATCCAGTCCTGTTTTCTGATACCTCGACCTGCTGAACGTTTTGCCATGAACCATTATATAAATTGCTGGTTTGTAGTAAGTCATTTTTAGTGTGGCTTGCGTGCTCTCAGTAGTTTTTTGCAGCCTTAGAGTGTAGATTTTTCAGCAAAAAATCAATTTTAATAAAAATAGGCCAGGCTCAGGGGCTCACGCCTGTAACCGCAGCACTTTGGGAGGCCGAAGCAGGTGGATCACCTGAGGTCAGGAGTTGGAGACCAGCCTGGTCAACATGGTGAAACCCTGTTTCTACTAAAACTACAAAAAATAAGTTGGGTGTGGTGGTAGTTGCCTGTAATCTCAGCTGCTTCCGTAGCTGAGCAGGAGAATCGCTTGAACTCGGGAGGCAAAGGTTGTGGTGAGCTAAGATCATGCTATTGCACTCCAGCCTGGGCAACAAGAGTGAAACTTCACCTCAAAAATAATTATAATAATAAAACAAATTGTACCTATTTTATACTTACATAGCATAAGATACATATTTTAAAAGATAGCTATTAAGATGTTAATGTGGGTGTTTTTGGTAGATGGGATTATGAAATTTATGTATTATGTTCTGCTAATAGTATAGCTTTTGTAATAAGAAACCAGCAAAATTAACCTGAAATTGTCAGAGAAAATTGCAGGAGAACTTTGTGGTTTCGAGACATAAATAATGGCATAAGTAATCATTGGTGATGGTCTCAGAGTAGAAGCCATTTTTCTTTCTGGGGAGATGTGGATGTTGCTGACTCTGTCCCACCCCCGGACATGAACCTGTGCTTTGATTTAGGGCCTGCTTGCTCTCGGTGACTACATGAATGTCCAGTGCCACGCCTGCATTGGGGGCACCAATGTTGGGGAGGACATCAGAAAGCTGGATTATGGACAGCATGTTGTTGCGGGCACTCCAGGGCGTGTGTTTGGTAAGCACTTTCGTCACTAAAAATGGTACTGCCAATAGTATTTGTAAGACATGTGTAAATGGTACAGGACCGCTTCCAGTTTGGCAGGTCACATGGACTTGCACCTGCGTCACTTGCAGGAGGTGGGGAGGTCTCTGAAATGCTAGAGCAGTTGGAATGATGAATTGTTTCCTGGGAGCCTCGGGTGTAATTATTTCAAACTCTTATGTCATAGATATGATTCGTCGCAGAAGCTTGAGGACACGTGCTATCAAAATGTTGGTTTTGGATGAAGCTGATGAAATGTTGAATAAAGGTATGAGAAACAATTACTTTTCTACTGACGTAATTCTTGGTTCTTAAGTTTTTCACAGTGGAAAACAAACAGGTAGTTGGTGAATGAATGTGAATAGTGTTTTTATTGTGGAAAACAGTTGTGCCTTGGTGGCAATTATGAACAAAAAATTCCCACCTTGATATTATTTATTTGTTTTAGATGGAGTCTCGCTCTGTTGCCCAGGCTGGAGTGCAATGGCGCCATCTCGGCTCACTACAACTTCTGCCTTCTGGGTTCAAGCAATTCTGCCTCAGCCTCCCAAGTAGCTGGGATTACAGGTGTCCGGCACCACACCTGGCTAATTTTTGTATTTTTAGTAGAGACAGGGTTTCACCATATTGGCCAGGCTGATCTTGAACTCCTGACCTTGTGATCCACCTGCCTCAGCCTCCCAAAGTTCTGGGATTACAGGTGTGAGCCACCACACCCGGTCTTATTTGTTTACTTTTTGAAGCACGGTCTTGTTCTGTCACCCAGGCTGGAGTGAGTGCAGTGGCATGATCATGGCTTACTATGCCCTCGACCTCCTGGGCTCAAGCAGTCCACCTGCCTCAGCCTCCTGAATCATTGGGGCTGAAGATGTGTAGCACACATCTCTAGGGGAAGTGGCTCACTGTGGCTGGAGCTGGATGGGGAAGGGAGGGAAGCCCTGAGCTGCACGTCGAGGGCTGCAGTGAGAAGACCCGTTTGACCCACAGATTTTATGTAGCAGCATTGATCTAGGTGAGAGGTAGCCTCACCCGTGTGGCCGTGGGGACCCAGGGCGGAGGGTTGGACTGAAGGAGGGAAAGGTTTGAGGGAAGGTTGAGGGCTGGTGGCTGACCCCTCTGCACCCCCCCCAAGCCCCCTGCAGCCTTCCTAAATCAGGAGGGTCCCAGGTGTGTGTCACTAGGCTCACACACGGGTGATAAGGTAGGTGGCGGGTGAGGGCAGATCTGGGAGCCAGACTACTGCAAACCTGATATGTCTTAGGATTCAGGTGCCTTGGAGCAGCACCCTTAAGGATGTGTCTGTCACGTGCTTGGGAGAGTGTGGCCTCAGCTATGTGTCCACAGCACCCTGGTTAGAGCCAGGCAGTGGGGTCCATGAGCCCCAGGAACATGTGGGCCAAGTGGAAGAGCAGACAGCTGGGACATGGGTGGGGGAACCTGGGAAGAGCAGGGTGTGTTAACTGGAGAGGTGGGACAGAGCTCAGGGAGGCCATGGGGGCAGCAGCCACCAGCGGCCTGGCAGGGGTGAGTGGTCAACGCTGGCAGGGGGTCCTAGAGCCTCCTAGCCATCCTGCAGGACCAGTTTCTGTTGAGGGGCCAAAGCCAACTCCAGACTCCTCAGTGGAGGCCTGATGTGGAGGGAGGACGGAGAAGCATGTGGTGTGGTTGACAGAAGGCTCACCTGAGGGGAATCAAAGAGGACACTTGAGGGTGGAGGAGCTTTTCTGAAAGACAGAAGAAATGTGGACATAACTCATAGGCACATACAAGACAGACAAACTCATGAGCCAAGGTCAAAGCCATCTGTCAGGATGTCCATTGTCAGAGCCTGGAGTCAGGACCGAATGGCCCACTGGGTAGTGGCTGCCCGGAAGTGGCAGTGGAAGGACAGCAGTCGCGGAGTGCAGGTGCAGTAACTTTGTCATCGAGGCCTTGGATCTTGGGCTCGGGGTTCAAGGTCCAGAAGTAAGCCCAGGCAGAGCTGCAAGACTGCAAGCGGGTAGCTGGAAAAACAAGTTGAGAGGAGCGAGGAGGGGAGGTGGTGCTGCTCCGGGAAAAACACGGCCGCTGGGGTGGAAGAGCGAGGAGGGGAGGTGGTGCTGCTCGGGGAAAAACACGGCCGCTGGGGTGGAAGAGCGAGGAGGGGAGGTGGTGCTGCTCCGGGAAGGACACGGCCGCTGGGGTGGAAGAGCGAGGAGGGGAGGTGGTGCTGCTCCGGGAAGGACACGGCCACTGGGGTGGAAGAGCGAGGGGGGGAGGTGGTGCTGCTCCGGGAAAAACACGGCCGCTGGGGTGGAAGAGCGAGGAGGGGAGGTGGTGCTGCTCCGGGAAAAACACGGCCGCTGGGGTGGAAGAGCGAGGAGGGGAGGTGGTGCTGCTCTGGGAAGGACACAGCTGCTGGGGTGGTGGAGCAGCGGAGGCTGAGAGCAGCAGGGCCCAGGCCTCTTACAAATGCCTTTAAATGCTTTTTTGTTATATGTGCAAATACATATTTATTGAGGAGACACAGTTCCTAAAAATGAATGAAAATCACAAAGCTAGCGAGGTGGCTCACACCTGTAATCCAGACACCTTGGGAAGCCAAGACAGGCGTATCATCGAAACCAGGTGTTCAGGACCAGTCTGGGCAACACAGAGATGCACTCTCTAGTAAAAAAATTAAAATTAAAAATCAGCCCATGATGGCATGGGCCCGAGTCCCAGGTACTCACTCAGGTGGCTGAGGTGGGACGATCACTTCAGCCAGGAGTTGGGGCCACCATCGTGGCTGATAGAACAAGCCTGTCTTAAAAATATAAAAGCATCGCAAGATATGTGCGTGGTGTTATGGTGCATACACATGTACACACTAGTGTGTGCGTCGGCTCCGGTAGGAGGTGTCGCACTCACTGGAGGGCACCGTGCGCCTGCATCCCTGCTCACTCAGAAGTCGCCTCCTGTGTTGACGACTGTTGTGTTGGTGTGCGAGCAGGGGAAAAACCCAGTTTGGAAGTTTGCCTAAAACTCTGTGTGTCCAGACTTTTTGTACATAGCTGTGGTTAATACACATGGAATCCTGTGTTTGGTTTGATAATCTGCTTTTATAAAAATGTATCTGTCCATGATAAGAAAAGTATTCTGTGGCCTGTTTAATGGCAATGAGGTATTCTACTGGAGGGATGGATATTCCATGATTCATTTCTTGGCTGTGTAGGTAATTTTCATTCTTTAAGATAAATTGGAAGCTGGTATGGTGGCCCACACCGGTAATCCTAGCACATTGGGAGGCCGAGGCGGGCGGATCACCTGAGGTCAGGAGTTTGAGATCAGCTTGGCCAACGTGGCGAAAGCCTGTCTCTACTAAAAATATAAAAACTACTTGGGTGTGGTGGCGAATGCCTGTAATTCCAGCTACCTGGGAGGCTGGGGCAGGAGCATTGCTGGAACCTGGGAGGTGGAGGCGACAGAGCGAGACTGTCTTGACAAAGATAACTTGGTAGGATTCGGATGTATACTTCCTTGGGTTTTCATAGGTGTTCTGACATGAGCTCTATGCAGTCTTCTAGGTGATAGCAGTTGCTCTCTCAGTGATTAGGAAATGCATGACCTGAGTTCAGTGTGAGGATCCGTAGTGGGCCCCCCAGGGTCTTCACAAGGCACCGGTGGGCCGTGAGGAAGTGCTGTGCTGTCAGCATTCCCCAGGGCCACCCATCCTCGGGTCCCGGCCTCTTGTTCCAGCAGTTCTTTGGGATCCTGGGGGGCTGTGCTCTTAGTACCTCTCATCCCTCCCGTCCTCTGTCTGGGGCTGCTTATTAGACCCCTCTGCTCCTCAGTGAGGTTAAAGTTTCGGTGACCTCACTGTTTCTGTGGTGGCTGAGGAAGCCCTGGGTTGTGGGTGGCTCCTTGTGCTTCTGGCCGGCCCTGAGGGCAGGGATTTTCACGGTGAGGACAGCAGGCCAGAAGCAGCCTTGTCACCTGGAGACTTTGAGAAATGCAGATTCTCTGGCTCCATATGATGTATGGAGTGAGAGCCTCAAGTTCATTAACTGGGCCTGTGGTGAGGAGGCCGGGCCCCTGCTTGCTCCTGGCTCCCTCCTCCTCTGCCCAGCTCTGCCCAGCTCTGCCCAGACCTGGCGGAGGGTGCAGGGTGCAGGTATGCCGGCTGCTGCACTAATTTCCACCTGTGTCGTGTTGAACAGTGTGGATAGGTAGGCAGCGTTGTTCACTGGGAGATGCTCTGTAACAATCAGGATGTTTGGATTCTCTTTGAAATGTTGCACGTGTGGTCATGGTGGATGGCAGTCCTCACAGGACAGTGGCAGGTGGAGGCATCCGAACTGAGGGTGACTCAGGCCAGCCTGTCTGTCGGTTTTCATTTTTTGGCATCTAGGACCCTTGGGGTGGGTTTCTCGATCCCTAGAGCACTTCAGATTGAAGAAGCATCAAAGGGAAACCAGGTTTCCTCTGTCCTGCTCCGGTGGGTGGGGAGTAGGGACAGAGAATTTGCGGGTGTGTCCCGGTTCTGTAAAGATGAGCTTCCCTGTCAGCCGCACCTTATCACAACTCTGCCTCTAACCCAGTGGGAACACGTGGTGTGCACGTTCCATTTCTGGCTGTGCCATCCTAAACATCCCTCACCTGTCCTGCTCCCTGTCCCAGGTTTCAAAGAGCAGATTTACGACGTGTACAGGTACCTGCCTCCAGCCACACAGGTGGTGCTCATCAGTGCCACGCTGCCACACGAGATTCTGGAGATGACAAACAAGTTCATGACCGACCCAATCCGCATCTTGGTGAAACGGTAGGCGCCCCTTGTGTCAAGTGTTACTAAACACTGGCCCGCATGTATAAAGAGTTTTATGTCATAATTTCAAAAACCTTTTGTAGCCAGGGTCTTGCTGTATTGCTGAGGCTTGTATCAAAATCTGGGCCTCAGGCCACACTGCCGGAGGTAAAGGAATTTAAAGCATGCAAGTTCTTTTAAAATTTGTGTTTTGAAAAACCAAATACTATCTTGGGCAGTATAGGGAGACGCCATCTCTACAAATAATAAAAAGTTAGCCAGGTCTGGTGGTTCACGCCTGTAGTCGAAGCTACTCAGAAGGCTGAGGTGGGAGGATCAATTGAGGCCAGGAGGTTGAGGCTACAGTGAGCTGTGATCGTGCCACTGCACTTCAGCCAAGGCAACAGACCCTGTCTCAAACAAAACCAAACAGAAAACCAGTTTTTATAATACTCATTCTGCTTTGAACCAGTAATCCCAAATTTAAACATTGGGTGATGGTATTTACTTATCATGTTTTAGTTAGAATCATTTCACGTGGTGCACATTGTGAAATGTTGAGTAGGGCATAGAATGGAGGCAGGATGGGGGACAGGGCTGGGTCTGCGCCAGGTATCAGGGTGTGACCTTCTCCACCGGGGTCTCCCTAGAGCCTGGCCTGCCCTCAGTCCTAGTGTGTGACAGGATTTGTCTTTGTCCTTCAGTGATGAATTGACTCTGGAAGGCATCAAGCAGTTTTTCGTGGCAGTGGAGAGAGAAGAGTGGAAATTTGATACTCTGTGTGACCTTTATGACACACTGACCATCACTCAGGCGGTCATCTTCTGCAACACCAAAAGGAAGGTAAGACGCATTATACTGCCTCCAGGTGCTTGAAGGGAAATTGAAGACTGAGTCTCTTAATGACTTAGATCAAGCTTTTTCAGTAAAGGGCCAGTTTGTCCATATTTTAAGCTTCCAGGATACGTGGTCTCTTGGGAAAGCAGCTGTAGACAGTATGCAAACGGTCAGACGTGGCTGTGACCATTCAAACTTTATTTACAGAACGACGACAACGTCAGCCACCTGAAAGACGCAGATTTTGTTGGTTTAAGGTGGAACCCAGGCCTGAGTGGTTTCAGATCCCTAGGTGATGCTCATTTGGAGGCAGACCTGAGAACTCTCGGCCACTCTCCTGAGAAAGGAAAGGAGTTGGGCTACATTCTAACAAGATTGGAATTTAAACTTAAATTTCAAATGAGAATGAGCAGACCTGGCCCCTTGCCCCATAGAATCATCATGTGGAGAAAATGAAGAGGGTTTTGTAGGGGCACCCGAACATTTTCTGGGGAAAGGTGTTTTTTGCACATCCAGTTAAGATGATTCTGAGTTTTAGGAGCAGTTACCTATGAATATTGACACTGGTTCAGCAGATGGTGGAGGTAAAATCCTGAATGCACATCTGTGGTTTGGCATTTGTAGGTGGACTGGCTGACGGAGAAAATGAGAGAAGCCAACTTCACCGTGTCCTCGATGCATGGAGACATGCCCCAGAAAGAGCGGGAGTCCATCATGAAGGAGTTCCGGTCAGGCGCCAGGTCGGTCAGCTGTGCTCTGCGGCTCTGCTGCTCAGGGTTTGCTGGATTGTATGGCAGGCAGTTTATGTGCACTGCTTCCGGGCAGGGCCCAGGCCTGGGGAGATGATGTGCCTGCTCCAGAGCCGAGGCCCTGGGTCAGCAGAATGCCTTCCCGCTAACGGGGTGGTCTGCTCTGCTCCTGTAATACTGAGGGTGATCTGGTAACTAGCCTTAACCAGCCAGGTTGGTCACCTTGGTTACAAGGGCGTGTCTTCTCTTCCAAATAAGGAGTGGTTTTGTGTTCATTTTTCTGATTAGTTGAATTCCTTAGTGGTCAGATAGCGTGGATTGTGTGGTTTCAGTCATCAGAATTTGATTCAGACTTCCTTCTCGGCCCACCTTGTGGTCAGCTGAAGAAATGTGCTGTGTGTACCCAGGCTGGGGAACATTGGCACAATCTTGGTTCACTATAGCCTCTGCCTCCTGGTTTAATGTGATTCCCATGCCTCAGCCTGCCGAGTAGCCTGAAATGGCTAATTTTTTTTTGTACTTTTAGTAGAGACGGGGTTTCACCATGTTGGCCAGGCTCGTTTTGAACTGCTGACCTCAGCTGATCTGCCTGCGTTGGCCTCCCAAAGTGCTGGGGTTACAGGCATGAGCCACCATGCCTAGCCGAACTTACTGTTCTTAATTTTTTGCTAGGCAGAAGTAAAATATTTTTCCCAAATCCTGGTTTAGGACCAAGTAAATAAGTTAAAAAGGTAGTATAGTAAAAGATGTCTTTTTTTTATCTCATGGAGCACATGTCCGAAGTAACTAGATGCAGCAACAGCCTCTCTGCACAGGGGTTTCTGGTGCTGTCCCTGAGGCTTCATGTTTGCAGACTGGTATGAGGGGTGACCTCATACATTCTGGATTTGTAGCCAGGCTTCTTAAAATGAGCAGTGGAAGCAAGGCCAGTCTTACACTTTCATGAGTAATTTGATCGCCTTAAACAGTCTTTTTTTTTTGCAGCCGAGTGCTCATTTCTACAGACGTCTGGGCCAGGGGGTTGGATGTCCCTCAGGTGTCTCTCATCATTAACTACGATCTGCCCAATAACAGAGAATTGTATATACACAGGTAGGGGTGCAAGTTTTCATTGGCTTCACTTCTGTTGACACATTTACTGCATCTTTATTGCTATATATACTAACTGTAATATTGTTCGATTCTTGAAGAATTGGGAGATCAGGTCGGTATGGCCGGAAGGGTGTGGCCATTAACTTTGTGAAGAATGACGACATTCGCATCCTCAGAGACATCGAGCAGTACTATTCCACTCAGATCGATGAGATGCCTATGAACGGTAGGAAGTCGTTCAGCGTTACCGTAATTGTAACTACAGAGGGAACCTGCCTACTTTCAGTTTGTAGCCCTTGAGTTGGTTTGTTTGAATTGGAGTTTCACACTGTCACCCAGGCTGGAGTGCAATGGCGCTATCTCAGCTCACTGCAACCTCTGCCTCTTGGTTTCAAGTGATTCTCCCACTTCAGCATTTTTAGCAGCTAGGATTACAGGCGCTGGCCACCACAGCCAGCTAATTTTTGTATTTTTAGAGACAGGGTTTCATCATGTTGGCCAGGCTGGTTTTGAACTCCTGGCCTCAAGTGATCTATCTGCCTTCCTCGGCCTCCTAATGTGTTTGGGATTACAGGCAGGAGCCACTATGCCTGGCCTGTCTTTTGTTTTGAGAAGTCTGTTGTGAAGTTTTAGCTAAATTGACGTTAGGAGTTTTCATTTTGTTTGTATTGTTCCTTATCTGTATCTTCACTTTCAGTTGCTGATCTGATCTGAAGCCGCTGATCTGATCTGAAGCCGCTGATCTGTGAGGATGAGTGGAGACTGCTCACCTGCTGTGTATTCCTGTTTGAAAGCATTTAGGTCCAGCTTCTGTTGAGTGGGGTTGATGTGAACTCTCTTCTCATAAATGGTCTGCCCTCTCCCTTCCTCCGAAGAAGATATGGGGATTCTGCTCTCTTTTCTTATTTACATGTAAATAATACATCGTTCTAAGTCTTTTTCATTAAAAATATAAAACTTTTCCCATAAACTCTGATTTGTATTTCTAAGATGCCACCAGCTTTTCTAGTAACTTACTCTATGGTCTTGGGCCATTTCACTCACTTTTCTAATCTGTTTTTTTCTTTGGGAGAGTTTCAGTGTTGATGGGTTTTGCTCTGGCGCCGGGCTGAAGTGCGGTGGCGCCATCGCAACTCACAGCAGCTGCAGCCTCCTGGGCTCAAGCGATCCTCTCACCTCAGCCTCCTGAGTAGCTGGGACTAACAGGTGTCTGCCAGCACACCTGGCTAAGGTTTAAATTTTTGGTAGAGACAGGGTCTCACTGTGCCGCCTAGGTTGGTCGGTCACTCATGGGTTTAAGCGATTGCTTCTTCCATCTTGGCCTTACAAAGTGCTGGTATCACAGGTGTGAGCCACCGTGCCAGACCTCATTTTTCTAATTTTTTTTTTTTTGAGAGCCAGGATCTCACTCACTCACCCAGGCAGGAGTATAGGGGCGGGATCATCACTCACCACAGTGTTAACAAACTAAAACATAATTGTCTCTTTAAATATTTACATTATTAAAGTATTTAAGTTATCTGCTCAAATATTTAAAGTAATCATCTGTAGCTTTACAGGCACACAGCACCACACCTGCCTGATTATTAATTTTTAAAATGTTTTTAGAGACAGGGTCTCCCTCTGTTGACCAGACTGGTCTTATGGTCTTAAACTCCTGACTTCAAGCAGTCGTCCTGCCTCAGCCTTGCAGAGTGCTGGGATAACACGCATGAGCCAACATCCCGGCTCTAATAATTTGAAATGGAAATTTTAAAACTAACTGGCCCCTCCCTTCCCGAAATTGGTTGGAATGAGAATCTATTTCAGGGTTAGGGTGAGCTTGGAAATGTTTTTAAATTTCATCAGGTTGATTTTACTTGAAGGCATCTGAAATTGCATAGTTGATGCATGGAACTTCCTTTAACTGAAGCTTCCTTTCTGTGGCTGGTAGACCAACTGCATTACCAGGAGCTGGTTAGAAATGGAGATGCTCGGCTGGGCATGGTGGCTCACTCCTGTAATCTCAGCACTTTGGGAGGCAAAGGTGAGTGGATCCTGGCCAAGATGGTGAAACCTCATCTCTACTAAAAACACACAAAAAATTAGCCGGGCATGGTGGCGGGCACCTGTAATCCCAGCTACTTAGGAGGCAGAGGTTGCAGTGAGCCGAGATCGAGGCACTGCACTCCAGCCTGGGAGACAGATCGAGACTCTGTCTCTTAAAACAAAATAGGCCAGGCACGGTGGCTCACGCCTGTAATCCCAGCACTTTGGGAGGCCAAGGCTGGCGGATCACGAGGTCAGGAGATTGAGACCATCCTGGTCAACATGGTGAAACCCCATCTCTACTAAAAATACACAAAATTAGCTGGGCATGGTGGCTCGTGCCTGTAATCCCAGCTACTCAGGAGGCTGAGGCAGGAGAAGTGCCTGAACCCAGGAGGCGGAGGTTGTGGTGAGCCGAGATCGCGCCATTGCACTCCAGCCTGGGTAACGAGCGAAACTCCACCTCAAAAAAAAAAAGTCCGGGCGCTGTGGTTCACGCCTGTAATCCCAGCACTTTGGGAGCCTGAGGCTGGCGGATCACAAGGTCAAGAGATTGAGACCATCCTGGCCAACATGGTGAAACCTCGTCTCTACTAAAAATATAAAAATTAGCCGGGTGTGGTGGCACGCACCTGTGGTCCCAGCTACTACCCAGGCAGAAGAATTGCTTGAACCCAGGAGGCAGAGGTTGTTGCAGTGAGCCGAGATTGCGCCACTGCACTCCAGTCTGGGTGACAGAGCAAGACTCCGTCTAAAGAAAAAAAAAAAAGAAATGCAGGTGCTCAGGCCCTGCCCTGGCCTGCTGACTGAGAACCTGCTGTTAACAAGGCTCCCAGCTGGCACTGCTGGCCAAGCAAGAGGAGTAGAAGACTGGAGGCCCAGAGGTGGCTCGGTGAGTTCCTGGCAAGGTAGAACCAGGTACAAGTGTGTTCAGGGCCTTTGCCCAACGGCAGCAGGGAGTGACACCCACCACAGCACTGACTGGTGCCAGCCCCAGTGTCCATATCTGTAGGTGTGTGAGCTCACTGAGGCTCGCCGGGTCTCATCAGGAGCTGCTGCCAGGCTTCTGTTATAGGGGAGGAGTGGCCCAGGTTTCCACACAGGCACCCAGGAGGACAGAAGGCCTCCACTGTCAGTAAGAATGATTGTAGACGAATAAGCACGTGGTGTTATAGTGGAGGGGGCAGCATCGGTGCCTTGGGGAGGAGCTGGCAGAAGGGGGCGGGGCTTATGCTACCTGACACACTATCTAGGAAAGGTCATCCTAAAAGGAAAAACACAGAACAAATGTTCATGAAAATGTTAAACTGCTGACAAATCAGAAATGATATGTGGTCATGGAAGATTTAACACCCACCAATCCTAAAGGTTGACAAGGGTACAGTAAACGTCTATATTGTGGTTTCCAGACTTTCTGGCACTTGGGCCGTCAGGGATGAAAGCGATGTTTCCCTTTGATGGTGTAGTTCCGCTGCAGGCAGCCGTCTGGAATGTGGACTCCTCGAGGGAGTTCAGTGTTGCTCCCACCTATGCCAGGGAAGGCCACTAAGTGCTCATGGATGCGGTGCAATGTGGGAAGGGGTGGAGCATTTGCAGTGATGCTGGGAAGAGGAGGGCACAAGAGGGAGAGAACTCCTGGAGGTTCTTGGGAGGGCAGTTTGCAGCCAGGAGCCTCACAGAGTCCAGGTGGATCCCTGTTACGGCAGGGGATCTGGTGAGCCTTGCCAAGTTGGTGTTGCTGGGCCTCCGGTCAGGTGGGAAAACTGGCTCTGGATCCTGAGGGGCTTCTCAGGGTTCCCAGCAGCCAAATCCAGATGAAAAAACCCTGGGTTATGAACTTTATTACAAAAATAAAATCTCACAAAAAAACAGAAATGCATAAAAGTGCTTTTTAAGCACAAGTTGTAACCCACTTTGCCATTATTAAGTAACTCCAGTTTTTACTTAGTAGTGTCAAATATATTTCACCACGTTTTTTTAAAAAAAGGGGTACTTTTCCAGCCTCTATACCATGCCTCCTTTGGAAGCAGTTGAAGATTCATTAGAATAATCTTTATTTTATTTATTTGAGATGGAGTTTTGCTCTTGTTGCCCAGGCTGGAGTACAATGGTGTGATCTTGGCTCGCTGCAACCTCCACCTCCTGAGTTCAAGAGATTCTCCTGCCCCAGCCTCCTTAGTAGCTGGGATTCAGGCACCCGCCACCATGCCTGGCTAATTTTTTTGTATTTTTTATAGAGATGGGGTTTTACCATGTTGGCCAGGCTGGTCTCGAACTCCTGACTTCAGGTGGAGTTCCTGGCTGAGGCCTCTTGCCTCGGCCTCCCAAAGTGCTGGGATGGCAGGCTTGAGACACCACGCCCAGCCAGAATAATCTTTAGAAGTGATTTTCTTGATCAATGTACACGTTTCAAATTAACATTCCAGAAAGATTTTTCACCAGTTTATACTCTTAACAGTGTGTTTCCTGTATTTTGTGTGTGTGTGGCGGGGGGCGGGCGTTGAAATTTATTCAAGAAATAGATGTACAGTGCCTTGTCTTAAGCCAGGCAGTTTTCCTGAAAGAAACACCACATAAAAAGGTTCTAACCAAGAGCCGGAGTGCCCTCACCATTTGGTGTATGTCTAAAGTGTAGAAATAGAATGGTAATGTTGATGCCGTTGGCATGCTTCTTTGTAGTAAGACTGTTTAAAATAACATACATAGACATAAAATGTGTGAGGAAAATAGCACAGCACCAAAGAAAGGAGAAATGGAAGTCTACTGTCGGGATTCGACACTATTGAAGGCAGATTGTGATGAATTAAAGATGGAAAACATATATAAAAGTGTTAAGTAATTTTTAGGTATGAACCTTTAAAGCAGTACAAAAAAGAGCCAACACGGGAGACAAAATAGAATCCTAAGTAATACTTAATCCAAGAATCCTGAAAAGGAAGGAAAAGGGAACAGAGAACTTACGAGACAGACAAATACAAATTGGTAGGTTCAAAATGACCGTGTCGATAATTCCACGTATCGCATATTGTCTAATCTCCCCGCAAACCCAAAGGAAGCAGAAGAAAGGAAATAATCAAGATAAGAGTAGAAATAAATGAATAGAAAATAGAGAAAATCAATAAAACCAATAGTTGATTCTTTGAAAAGATCAACAAAATTGACAAATCTTTAGCAAGTCCAAGGAAAACATGTTCAAATAACTTAAAAATGAAAGAGGTGATGGTACAGATGACCTTAGAGAATCCAAGTATCAGTGCCGTGAGCTGTATGCCAACAGATTAACCTCGATAAAATGGAGAAATTCCTTGGACAGACTGACTAGTAAGTAAAAAGATTAAAGCGGTACTCAAACTTACAACAAAGAAAAGCCAAGGCATGTGAATCCTGCTAAACTTTTATAGATTTATCACCAATCATCACAAAATCCTTTTTTTGAGAAGGAGTCTTACACTGTTACCTGGGCTGGTGTGCATTGGTGCAATCTCGGCTCACATCCTGTGCCTCCCCAGTTCAAGCGATTCTCTTGCCTTAGTCTCCCGAGTAGTTAGGATTACAGGTGCCTGCCACCATGCCTGGCTCATTTTTTTTGTGTTTTTAGTAGAGATGGGGTTTCACTATGTTGGCCAGGCTTATCTTGAACTCCTGATCTTGTGATCCACTGGCCTTGGCCTCCCAAAGTGCTGGATCACAGTCTCACAACATACAAGGCAGAATATTTCCCAACATCTTGAGGCCAGCATTAGTGATGCCAAAGCAAAGATACAGGAAAAGAAAACTAGATCAATACCATGTGAATGTGGATGTAGAAATCCTCAAAAAACAGGCAAAACAAATCCAGCAACATATAAAAAGAATTGTACACTGTGACAAAATGGGATTGATCACAGGAATGCAAAGTTGGTTTAATATCCAAAAATCAGTCAATGTAATACACCCTATCAA